TCCCTCGGCGCTGGGGACTCTCCTCCCTCTTTCGACGTCATCCGCTGAATGCGCATGCACGGCAGTCAATAAGAAAGCATTTCTCAATTCTTTCCTATGGACGCTGACGTCTTCTCACTGAAAATCACAATGAGAAGCGCGGAAGCGCCTCTAGTGGCTGTCAATAAACAGGCACTAGAGGCTGGATTAACCCTATTGTAAACATAGCAGTTTCTCTATAACTGCTATGTTTACAGCAGGCAGGGTTAACCCTAAATGGACCTGGCACCCAGACCATTTCACTTTAAGGACACACATTTCACAGTAAAAAACATTCTAGAACAGACAGTAAAATGGCATGTATAAATTCCCTAAATTGACAAACAATTATTTGCAATGATTCAACAATTTGGTGGTTAAAAACATATGCTTTAGCTATTATAATCAAGCTGTCGCCCTGAGCAACCACATTCTACTTTAATTAATGGCATTCTACATATTTACTTTCAATGCTAGTTGTTTATCCTTGTATTTCTACCGTGAATCTAAAGTTTTGTACCTTTTGTGTTACACTAATAACGCATATAAACCTGTGCATGACGTAGGAGTCATCACTTGTGCCTCTAGACTTTCCAATGATTTTTGACTTTATTTTAAAGAAAATAAATTAAAAATAAACAAGTTAATTGAATTTGTGGATATTTATTTATATTAATAATATTTCAGAAGATGTAATATATAAAAATACTGGGCTTGCTTTTTTTTTGTTATTCAGTGCTGAAACAGACACCTCAAAGCATCCCAATCCTCTCTTAATATCAAGATTGACGATTCTGTTTAACCCCTTAAGGACACATGACATGTGTGACATGTCATGATTCCCTTTTATACCAGAAGTTTGGTCCTTAAGGGGTTAATCAAATGGGTCTCATGGAGAAGCATTGCAACCATACAGTGCATTCAATAGCCGCTAGTGCACCCCCAGTGTCCAGCATCACCACATTTTGCCTGCTTACTGTACACCACAGTAAAAAAAGATTTTAAAAATAAATAAATCTATTTTCGTCTAAAGCCCCCAGTAGCTGTATGATCGTAACTATAGGTTTGGGATTGCAAAATGAGAAGCTTTTCTCAGAAACATCAAATACAAGATTGCCAAAGCAATGTCAATGCTCCAAAATCTCCTTTAAGATTACATGATTTTGGTATATTATGTATTGGTCATGCCCCTTCAATCTCACTAATTTAGTAGATAGATCACTTTGTTTGTACATCCCTATACACTTCCTGAAAAAAGAAATCTAATTTTTTAACTGTGCCTTTTTACATATCATGTTTAATCTATAATGTATTATCTTCTGCTCTGTTAATTGATTGCTAGAGCCTGCAGGAGCCTCCTTATTCTGGAACGGCTGCAAAGGCTAGGAATGTGGTTTTTCAGGAGCACATGGCGCTCATTGCCTTGATGAGATTATCCATACCAAATCACCTTCCCAGATAGTTTACTCGGTCACAACTCACATGAAAGAAGATCTGTCGATGTTTATTCGTCGTATGTTCTGTAGAATGTGCAGTTAAAGGACCACTATAGTGCCAGGAAAACACTCGTTTTCCTGGCACTATAGTGCCCTGAGGGTGCCCCCACCCTCAGGGTCCCCGTTCCGCCCGGCTCTGGAAGGGGAAAAGGGGTAAAAACTTACCTTTTTCCATCGCTGGGCGGAGAGCTCTCCTTCTCTCCTCCGTTCCGCCCCGTCGGCTGAATGCGCACGCGCGGCAAGAGCTGCGCGCGCATTCAGCCGGTCGCATAGGAAAGCATTTACAATGCTTTCCTATGGACGCTGGCGTGCTCTCACTGTTAAAATCACAGTGAGAAGCACGCAAGCGCCTCTAGTGGCTGTCAATGAGACAGCCACTAGAGGCTTTGGGGGAAGGCTTAACCCATTAATAAACATAGCAGTTTCTCTGAAACTGCTATGTTTATTAAAAAATGGGTTAACCGTAGCTGGACCTGGCACCCAGACCACTTCATTAAGCTGAAGTGGTCTGGGTGCCTAGAGTGGTCCTTTAAGACAGGTAAAAGAACGATTCTACCACACAGGTAGGAGAGATACCACTAGTCACATTGAATGTACAGCATAGAAAACACTAGAACAGGAGAGGGGGAGGGGAGTACCTGAAGCAGCATGCAAACTACGGAGTGGCACAAGAGACAAACTTTAGATGAACATTAAAGAAACAGTACATAATAAAACAATATCATGTAACATGACACTCCTGGTTAGGATTAAAGGTCAATTGAAAGAGCAGGACATAAGTAAAGTTAACACAGTACTATTAAGAGGGGGTGGTCCAACCCAGGTGAAAGGCTGGAAGGGGTGCACACATGACAAGGGCAAGCAGGAGAATCCTCTTATAGGATGTTTTCCTGCACTTTCTCATAGCAAACAAAGTGCATGCATCATTTGTAGATCTTACAGGGTGGGTTGGAGCAGGCCCGGACTGTCCATCGGGCAAACCGTGCCAAGGCCAACAGGCGAGATCAAGGGATATCCCCAGCGAGCCCCTTTAGTACTGGTGCTGCCTGAGTGCCGGCCCATAGAGGGAGCTCTGTGGCCGGTAGGGAGATCAAAGATCTCCCTCACCCGACTTCACGCGTATGCTCCAGACAGAAACTAGCACAGTGTGGGCCCAGCACACATGGTCTACACCAGCCAGGGGTTTAGACCAGATACTTTATACACTGGACCACCAGGAATAAAAATTCCTCCTCAGCCCCCCTCCTGCCAAGGCTCAAGATAAGGAAGAGAGATAGGGGAGTAAACTGTGTTTTTTGTTTTGTTTTTTTAAATGAAAATTATAATTTAATTAGAAATGTAAATTTTTTTTAGCACAAGCAAATGCAGTAAACTAGGCTTTGAGAGGGTGAGGAGGAAAGAAGAGCAAGATGACTTACTGACTTGCAATGGATGAATTTAACAGGGGAGAGGGAGGCAATGAGGGGTCCAGGTTGATTATGAATGAAAAGTAAATTAAAACTTGTGTATAGAGAGAGTGGGCTGCTGGTTAAATTCAGGTAATATTGCGTACAAAAATTAACCAAAAGGCGTAAATGTAAATATTGAAAGCTCAATTTTGCCTGTGGTCTGGTCTGGTCTGTGAGAAGTCACACCATAAGCGGAGCATTTGGGAGTGGATGGCAAAAATCTTTTCACCAGCCCTTCCCACAGCCAATCACTGTTCTCCTATTAGCTGTATAGAAATCCAAAGCCATGCTAAGGGAACAGATAATAGCAGGGGAGGGCTGGCACCCTTATGGGGGAAGGGCAGGGGGGCAAATCCAGTCAAGTGGCCCATTGCACCAAGAGGTGAGAAGAGCAGTGAAAGTCACGCCCCCTCCTCCTGACATCATCAGGAGAGGCCGGCCGACTTCAATGGCTGCAGGGAGAGAGGTGAGTTAAAAAATCTGAGTCCTCAGCCAGAGGCAGGGCCAGGGCCAGAGCCAGAGGCAGGGAGAGAACCAGAGGCAGGGAGAGAACCAGAGGCAGGGAGAGAGTCAGGAAAGGGCCAGGGCCAGAGCCAGAGGCAGGGAGAGAGCCAGAGGCAGGGCCAGAGCCAGAGCCAGGAGAGAGCCAGAGGCAGGGAGAGAACCAGAGGCAGGGAGAGAGTCAGAGGCAGGCCAGAGGCAGGGAGAGAGCCAGAGGCAGAGGCAGGGAGAGAGCCAGGGACAGGGAGAGAGCCAGAGGCAGGGCCAGAGCCAGGGGCAGGGAGAGAGCCAGAGGCAGGGCCAGAGCCAGAGGCAGGGAGAGAGCCAGAGGCAGGGCCAGAGCCAGGGGCAGGGAGAGAGCCAGAGGCAGGGCCAGAGCCAGAGGCAGGGCCAGAGCAAGAGGCAGGGAGAGAGCCAGAAGCAGAGGCAGGGAGAGAGCCAGAGGCAGGGGGTTCAGAGTTTTCCTTTTTTTGCTGGATGCGGGCGGCCCTGGGATTAGGGCGGCCTGGGGGGCAATTGCCTCCCTGTCCCCCTTCCCAGCCCGCCCCTGGATAACAGGACGGTGATTGGCTGTGGTGTGGAGTGATGTCAGCAGCTCAGCTCACATTCATCTCTTATTGACTGTTCTGATTACATACCCTAAATACTTCTAACAAGGAAGTCACTTTGTCTAAAAAAAGAGAAAAGATAAAACTTAAACTGCAGAATTCCGCAACTTTTTTTCTTTAGCAAAGCTCAAGAGAATTAAATACGGAAAAAATTTTTTAGGAGAATATGAAGCCAAAACCGATGAAATGCATTTAGATTGTGTTGGTGCTGGAATGTGCGTGTAATGTCCTTTTAAACTGAACCTGCAAGACAAGTTCACTTCACGATACAGTAATGATTACATACACCATCACTGGCCAATAATGGTTTGATATCTGTACAATATACATCATTTGAAAACATAGCCCCTTAATGAAGACTGACGTACAGGCCAAAAGCAAAACTATAAAAAACATTTTTGTTTCTAATTTCTAAAATATTTTATTAATATGTAAATGTTGTGTTATACATAAATATAGGGTGTCAGAATAAAAAGTGCTATCTATCCTTTAAGAAAAAAAGATAATAAATTAATAAGTATGGGTGCACTAAAAGTGTTTCAATTGTGATGGAACAAACACATAGCAAATTTGACCAAAAGGCCTCAGTCAGAAATGCATGGAATTTAGAAAAAAGCAACCAAGGGGTCAGTGGGATTTTGGTTTTCTTTTACATATAGTCTTGATGCAAATTTTTCTTCTCTTAATTAACAGCAGTCTCGATACATTTCTAGTCTGAAATACCTCTCAGCTATGATGCATAGCTTTTGTCAGTCATCTTAATTATTTGTAATATTATAAGCGTGACAATAGATTCATCATGGCATTTTAATTTGAATATGAAGCATCTGTATTATGATATTGAGTCAGTTAACAGATGGGTTACAGCGCTCTGTTGTCCTTCAGCAGAGAAATTAGAAAATCAACAGTTTAATCACGTGTGTATATATATATATATCTTTAACTAGACATGACCGAAATATATAGATCCCCTGTTAATTCTAATTCTATGCTTATTCACTAAAGTGAATTTCTGTAGCACGTACTATAAATAAGTGTGAAAATCTGGAAGTAAAAACTACATTCATCATCCCATGAATTACAAAAGAAGTTTTAACTAGCCCCGAGTTTGTACCTTTTTGAATTAAATGAATTGCCCCCAAAGCACCTGGCCTAATCTTTAAATAAGGTCATCTTGAAATTGCTAGGGAATTAAGCCTCAAACAACCAGCAGTCATTTACCAATTGATTTAAAATAAATAAACACTGAAAAAATGGTCACCTTTGCCCCCTACTAAGCTATGGGGCCAGGTGGAATCCCTAATTCAGGTCAAATCCTAACTAAGCATGTTGATGGCAAAACTGGCAAAGGTATGAAAGGGTTAGTTGTCTTATGTGAAGTCTACTGGCAAAACTACCGGTGGAGGGAGCAATTGGGCGGCCCTCACACTTTGGGCCACCTGATGGGCATCTCTGATCAGGGGCTTAGTTGGGCACCATGGCCCTTTTACAGCTCAAGTGGGCCCCTGTCAAATCGTCAGTGCTGGGGAAAATGAGCGCAGGTCACTTCCTCTGATCTACAGAAAGATGTGCGGGGAGCCAGAGTGAAAAAGAAGCAGAAAGAGGAGGAGAGAGAGTGCTTTCTCAACAGCTTCCATTTCCAAATTTTTGATTAACATGAGGCAATAGTTTTTGGTGAGTGGCATTATAAAAGCATATCCTAGAGTCCTTTTAAAATTAATTTAACTTCTTAAAAAAATATAATCTTGGTTAGCATTGTCTTAGTAGGAGCCTTCAATGATAACCAGAAGATTGCATTCCCTACATTTAAAAAAAAACATTATCACTATCTTTTTAACATTTAGGGGATCCCCTTTTAAAATCTTTATCCTTTTAGCAGGCTTAAGTCAGATAGATGCTATTATATTGCAGTCAAATTTATTTAAGTACCGGGAGAAATACAGATATTTATACTGTAATTTTTTTGGAGCTTCTTACCTATCTGCTTTGTACTCAGCTGCTGCTTAGTGGGCCAGAGCGTAATGTTAAAAACTAATAGAAAAATACCTTAATTATAATCTACTTGTCCTGCCTGAATCACTACTAATTGCCTACTTGTTGCAGCAAAAATGATTTGTAACAACAACTTCTTAATATTCACACGGCACCATCTGGCCTGAATAAAGAGTGGCCTCCCTGTGCTCGTGTGATATATACAACAAACCTATTAGAGAACATTCTGATTAGTATACAAGTATCGCTTGGTTTGACCTTGACTTGTATGCAAAATGGAGAATGATATAACTGTGTCATCTTAATATGACTGAGGCTTACATAATGAGCCAACATAGTTTCCACGAGTCTATGTAAGCCCTTACAAATTAAATTCAAAATCAAGTACAAATGAACAATAAGTACCAAACTATGCATTATTTTGTCAAGTTGCTCCCTGGGCAATTTTCCAGTGTTGATGCAGTTCGTATTCATTTGTAATAAATGAATTGTTGCTGCGTGATATGTTAATGTTATTATGTACAATGTGTTATAGAACCATTGTCGGAGAGGACATTGTGTACTACCTAAATAAGAATTAAAAAAAATAATAATAATATAATAGCAAAAATATAAATCTTATATTAAATTCGCTATTTCTCCAGATTGTGGATGC